AGGCGTAGAATGTTTACCTCTCTATACACCTTGTTAAACTGTTCAATGACTTTTCTTTAGAACTCTTTTATTTACAAAAGTAACACAGGATCTTCCAAATAATAAAGCCTCGCGTGGAGAAAGAGTGAAAGGGACCCCTTCCTCCCCATTCCCGCGTTCGCCATGGGGTTCAGAGGAGTTTGGGGGTCACCGGGAGAGGGCAGTGGGCCTGGAGGGCGGGGCGGGAGGGAGAGCGNTCGGGGGCCCGGTGACCCTGTGCAGCCCCGACGGCCTCTGGGCAGGTGCCGTGCGGGAGCAACAGTATCCACATCAGGATTTTTAGGGGGATTAAGGCAGATGAACTATGTAAAGTTTTTAGAATGGCGCCTGCCACGGAATAAATACTCGGTAAATGTTATTATATTGTCAAAAGTTCAAAAGTAACAGAAGTAAAACCAACGATGCACTGAAGTAGTAATTACTAAAAGTTTATTGTGCAGACACCAAAACGACGGTTTGCAAACTGGGAGCGCTAGGAACAGCGCGGGATGCGGCTGGGCCCTGCTGACCAGCAGCCGCCAGCGCGAAGGCTGGGCCGTTTCTCCGTCGCGCGATGCGTTACACGGTGATGCCCCCTGCTGGCCTCACAGCAAGACTGGGAAACAGGTCAAGGTTTGCTGATGATTTCCAGACGCGTAAGTGAGAAACGACCTACGTGAAGTTAGGCTTGCAAAACTAAATTAAGTTTTATTTATACGACTAACCTGGTTTTGTCTGCTCAGGGAAAATTCAAGGCTGGTCTCCACTTTTTTTTTATTAATTTTAACAATATGTACATGTATATACGCATCTATATAGTGTCTTTTTTTTGGTAAGTAGGATTATTTTATACAAACTATTTTGTGATGATGCACCTTGTAAATCTCTAGGCCTTTAATACAGAACTGTATCATTGATCTAATAACCTAGGTGTACTTTATCTTCAGTTTTTTGCTATTATAAATTATGCTGTAGTGATTGTCCTTGCACGTATCTTTTTGTACAAACTATAGAAAACATTCTATTCTTCTGCCAATAAAGTATGAGAATGGTTATTTTCCGCATCTCTCCAACTCCATATTATCAGTTACAATTACTTGAAAAATAGGTGTAGTCTTTAAATGTGGGTACAGTGTCGTTTTCCTATTGGCTCAATTTGTTATTTGCATAGTTATTTTGTTTGCTTATTCTATCATTTATTCAGAAGAATATTAAAACCTCAGCTGTAATTATGGATTTATTTATTTCTTCTTGCTGAGATTTTTTTCCCCTTCATGTATTTTGAGGTTATATGATTAGGCAAAACTTCAAAGTTGTATCTTTCTGGTGAATTGAACATTTATTATTATGAAGGGTTTCTCTTTCTAGTGTTTTCCCTACATTGTCTGTTTTGTCTGAAATTAATGCTTAGCTAATTTATATATACATATATATGTCATGTATACATACATGTCATTTACACATATATGTCATATACACATGGGTATCCCCACTTTTTTCTAAGGTGCAGTGGTAAGATGTACTTTTTGAAAGTTTTCTTTTACCACTTCACTTTTACAAAAGACCTACATTAGTATCTGTTTTGATAACCAAAAGAAATTCAAAGAAGATTTTTGTTTTTACATAAAAAAGGCAAAAAGTTAGAATTTAGAATTTGTTTTGCAGCAGAGTGCACCTGGAGCAGCAAGAGTGACACCAAGTTTCTTCCCCAGAAACACACTCAGCACCTCAGCATGAAGCTGCCACAGCTTTGAATGGCGTCTGTGAGCACCTCATTTGTTTCGTGCACACTTACTGAGTTGTGTCCTAAGGCAATCATTTGTTTGCTTTATGCCATTTCTCCTTATGGAAGGTTTCGTAGGAACTCTCTCCTCCCGGGTGGATAGCAGGGGAAACTTATATTACAAGTACATATACATAGAAAGATAGATAGTGCTCTCATCCAGCAACACATCAATAGGAGCAATTTTTTCCTGAATGGTGTTTACTTCTTTCTCATTTTATGAGGTGATAACTTTTTATGAGTCCAGATTTTAGTGGGGATGTTCTATTAGCTTTTTCTTCTTGATGNTGTGCT